CCACACCCATACCTCACACCCACACCCACACCCATACCTCACACCCACACCCACACCCATATCTCACACCCACACCCACACCCATACCTCACACCCACACCCACACCCATACCTCACACCCACACCCACACCCATATCTCACACCCACACCCACACCCATACCTCACACCCACACCCACACCCATACCTCACACCCACACCCACACCCATACCTCACACCCACACCCACACCCATACCTCACACCCACACCCGCATCCACATCCATATCCACCCACATCCTTTGTGCCTTGCAAAACACACTATCTATTAGATGCCGATTAAAAGAAATTCTTTTTCATAATGGTATATAATAGTTTATTGATATGTATAAACTCAATAATAAAATAGAATACAGCTAAAGTGTTTGCTTCAAAGTTGGTAGTTTTCCACATAGTTCTGTTTTTTTCATCATAATTAGACTCAATTCAATACCAACCCATTACCGACATAGAACTTATTCATAGAGTTACCGTAATTTCACCATTTTTTTCAAAGATAAATACTTATGGTAATTTGAAATGAAAATTTTAGCTACATTTAATCATGCAACAGAGTTAGTTAGTCACTTGAATATACTGAATACATTAGGGTGGGTGTGGGTGTGAGTGTGGGTGTGGGTGTGGGTGTGTGGGTGTGGGTGTGTGGGTGTGGGTGTGGGTGTGGGTGTGGGTGTGGCTATCTGGGTGTGGGTGTGGGTGTGGGTTGGGTGTGGATGTGTGGGTGTGGGTGTGGGTGTGGGTGTGGGGTGTGGGTGTGGGTGTGGGTGTGGGTGTGGGTGTCAGTCGGTGTGGGTGTAAGGTAGAGCCCGTTGGGTCCAAGATTTTCAGATCCGGAACCAGACTCGAACCCGGTTTACTGAATGTTTTTGAGACCCGGATCCGGACCGGACCCGATTAAACTTTTCCGGGTCCAGACACGGCTGGTTAAAACTTATCAGACCCGAGCCCATATCACGTTGATTAACTTTTTCAAACTCTGAAGTGACTGGCATTCTGTACATTTTCAAAGGAATTTTTTCTATCGGAATCTGATAGTGCGTCATAAATATGAGATCTTTTTTTCAATCATATCGATCACTATCACGACCTATATGTTAGTTAGGCAATATTGATCATGATCTATAATCAAGTTGTAATCGGCTCTAATTCTTTGCCAATAACTTCAGATGCCGAGATAAAGATTTGGATTCATACGGCTTTATCTTATTTCTTTTGTTTAACAGCTATACGATTATTAGGTATAGTTGCCTTATTGTTACTAGTTCGTATTTATAAAGACAAATTAATGCAGTCATATTAGTTTTTTTAACAAGCATAAAGTGAGAGCAAAAAATTTAGCACACTTTTTATTGTTTAAATTTCTCGTCAAGAATAACTTATTGAAAATATCCAAATGGTGATTTCAATACATCTCAGAACGGCCTATAAAACTGAAATATAAACATTTTCTGAAGTACATGTTTTTAACTTTTTATTAGACAAAAAGTTTTTCTCCAACGGAAAAAAGTTTAGCACACTTTTAATATTTGACTAATTTTTACATTATTTCACGAAAGCTAGACCGATCTAGAACTGGAGACCGGTTTAAACCGGTACACCGGTTTGGACCGCTAGACCGATTTGAACCGGTAGGCCGATTTAGACCCGGAGACCGATTTACACCGGTAGATCGGTTTGGACCAGTAGACGGGTCGATCCAAAATTCAGACCAGTACCAGTTCGATGTCTGACTCCACATCGCCATAGACGCGCACCCCCACACCCACACCCTGGTTATTTAGTTCAATCATACACGCACACTCTTAAACTCGGCAACTTGATTATTTTATTGAAGAACACTTATTGTATATTTAAATTAACTTGAGCGACTAGAAGTGTTGAAAAGCGAGAGCTAGGAATAGCAGATTGAATTTTTCCTTTTCGTTAAGAAATAAGTCGATATATTTTGTTTTAGTCATTTACTACGAATTCAGCTTTCTAATTTCGTCGAATGAAACATGCCTTTCCCAGTTAGTTCCCGCTTCGTCCCACTTCACTTTCGCCATGCGTTGGCCTTTGTCGATCGATTTGATGGCAGCATTCCGGGTTCCCCCACCGCCACGCATAATAGTCACTTCCATGTCGGGTTTTAAGCGAATAGGTGAATCCCGCATAGCACTTCCTGAATGAAGTTCGTTCTTTGTACGGAATATATTTGGATTGAATGCAGTTATTTCGCCCACTTGGACAGTCCTGTGCATGCGTTCTCCCCCCTCGTGCCATGTTACTTTTACCTCACGTCTGTCGTAATTGATCGAATGGATCTTGACGTCTCTTGTTCCGCCGGAAGAGCCGCCACGGTGAACCTTCACTAGCATACCCTCGCTGAGTCGCGTGATTGTATCGTTTGTCCCTACTCTCGTTAGTGACTTGTGGTGATCCATTTGGGAGAACCTATATTGAAAAAAGGGAAATCATGTTATTCGTCGAAAAATTTTTGTCGAAAAGCAGTTGATCGAAAAATTATTGTCGAAAAGTTTTCGTCGACACGACACTTCGTTGACAGAGCACCTCATCAATAAACTCAGATAGATATCTGTTTTTCGTCGAAAGTATTTTCTTAACTATGGAGAGTACTCCAAATGTAAAGGTGAGGTGAGCGTGACGGTGAGGACCATGTAGGCGTACTCCAAATGTGAGGGTGAGCATGACGGTGAAGGCAAGGGTGAGTGAGAGTGAGCATGACTGTGAGGGCAAGAGCTATGCAAGGCACTCTAAATGTGAAGGTGAAGGCAAGGGTGAGGGCAATAGCACTACAAACGTGAGTGTGAGAGAAAATTCATTGTTCTCTGAACTCTGAACAGTTCTGTAGAAGAATTGAAGGATCTGGAATTGTCTCGGGAGCTGCAAACCTTGCCTTGAAGTTTTTTTCGACGAAAAGCATGTAATTTTATTCAATAGTGCCCTGAAATTCTTCCACCTTCGCCAAAGGGACAAAGTTAATTAGGAGATACTTTTGAACTTGTCTCCTGACGGTGAGATAAAAAAGAAGAAAATAATTCACTTTCGACGAAATGTTCTTTCGACGAAATGCTTTTCTACAAAAAATTTCGACAAAGTTACTTCGACGAAAAGTTTGTCGACTAAAGTGTTGTTCGACAAGAAACATAGCATTCGAGGGGTGTGGGTGTGGGGTGGGTGTGGATGTGGGTGTGGGTGTGGGTGTGGGTGTGGGCGCGTGTGGGTGTGGATGTGGGCGCGTGTGGGGTATGGATGTGGGCGCGTGTGGGTGTGGATGTGGGCGCGTGTGGGTGTGGATGTGGGCGCGTGTGAGTGTGGATGTGGGCGCGTGTGGGCGTGCGTGTAAGCGAAAAGAAGACTAACACTTACATCCACGCCCACACCTACACACGCCCACATCCACGCCCACACCTA